ATTCTATTTCCTTTTTTTGTTTGTTTGATTTTTTTTTTTTTTTCAAGACAGAGTTTCTCAGTAGCTATGGAACCTGTCCTGGAACTTACTCCGTGGATCAGGCTGCCCTCAAAATCACAGAGATTCGGTTGCCTCTGCTTCCAAAGTACTAGGATTAAAGTCGTGCACCACCACTGCCTGACTCTTTCTTTCTTTTGAGGCAGGGTTTCTCTGTGTAACAAACGGTCCTGACTGCCCTCTACAGACCAGACTGACTGCAAACTCCCAGAGATCTGCCAGCCTCTGCCTCCCAAGTTCCTGGGATTAAAGGCGTGTGCTGGTGCCACCCAACTTTTATCAATCATCTTCTTTTTCTATATTGGGGAACCTATGAACCTATGGCCTTGGGCACACTGGGCAGATGGTTTATCACTGACCTATATCCCCAGCTCTTTTTTGCATTTTATTTTAAAGCCTGATATTTTACTAAGTTGCTGACCTTAAATTAATTCTGTAATCCAGGCTGGTCTTAAACTTTTCAGGCGCTAGAGTAGCTGAGATTATAAACCTCTGCCCCCAGGCCCAATTTCAAATAACATCTCTTTCCTTCCTTTCTTCCCCTGCCCTGCCCTTTCCATTTCCCCTCCTTTCCTTCTTTGTCTTACTATATTAACTCACCTGATTTTGAAATTCTAGGCTCAAAAAACTTTTTTTTTTTTTTTTTGAGACAGGGTTTCTCTGTAGCTTTGGAGCCTGTCCTGGAACTAGCTCTTGTAGACCAAGCTGGCCTCGAACTCATAAAAATCCACCTGCCTCTGCCTCCCGAGTGCTGATTAAAGGCATATGCCACCACCGCCCAGCTCAAATTAGTCCCTTATGTCAGCCTTCCGAGTACTAGAATTACAGGTGTGTGCCACACCACTAGCTCAACATTTCTGCTTCTATGGCAGTCCTCTGGAGAAGATGCTATAGCTCTAAGGCTACCTAGGAAGGAGGAGGAGATGTCTCGGCCAGGAATTAAGCAGAGGACCTTGTGCATGTTAAGCATTGCCCTTTCACTGAACACTGAACTCCCATTTCCTTAATTCCATATGATTTGTTTAGGAGGGACAAAAGGATTTCTGCCTCCAAGACAAGATGGATATTACGGCTTCAATTCATAGGAAGAGCTGTAATCAAACTCATTACAGCAGAAAACACCTTTAACCTCTGAGCTATATCAAAAGGGCTTAATGATGGAAATTTCAGACAACTTTGGCAGACAGATAGCAGAGGCATTTGGGGCTGTGATTTAGTCTGTACGTAACAACCTGAGTAACTGAACCCAGGCTTATGCTCTAGACAGATAATGCTGGAGGGAAACAGGATATGCTCCTAAGGGATGCGCTGAATTTTAAGGCTTCTTCTACACTAAACATACGGTACTTTCGTCCTAAAATGTTTAGAGGTTGCATTGAGATAGAGAAAGACATAAGTTGGGACTTAGGAAGATGTAATTGGATCTAGGAAGTAGGAAGCCCAGAGGTAACAGATCTCAGAGATATACATCCAAAGGCATTTCTGTTTATTGTGTTTAGAGACAGGATCCCACATTATAGCCCAGCGTGGCCTGGAACTCAAAGAAATCCTTCTACCTCAACCTCTCAATGCTAGGATAACAGGGATGAGCTATTATAAGACATTTCTTTTTGTGTATGTGTGTGTGTGTGTGTTCCAGGACAGGCTCTGTCCCGAAAAACTGGGTGTGTTTTATATGGTGTGTGTGTGTATATATATATTATGTGATATATATTTATGTGTGTGCCTGTGTCTGTGCCGGAGAGTGTGGAGGTCAGAGGGTAATTTGCAGGAGCAGGTTCCTTTCCCCCTACCATGTGGATTACAGGGATCCAACTCAGAACCAGGCTTATACAGCACATACTGTTATTGACCAAGTCTTCTTGAGAGCCCTGAAAGACATTTCTTGTCCACTTCATACAGATCGGATCTGACTTTAGGTAATAGAGGTAAGGGGGTATAGAGCTGGGCATGGTAGTGTATACCTATAGTACCAGCATTCAGGAAGTGGAAGCAGGAAGATTACAGGTTCAAGACCAACTAGGGCTATATAATGAAAACTTGTCTAAAACGAACAAACAAAAACAAGGAAATGCAGGATGATCAAATAGTAATTGTCAGGATTCATGGTAGACTCACTGAATTAACCTTCAGGGAAGTTCTTAGATGGCTCCGAACTGAGTAAGTCGGAAAGACATAATCTGATTCCCTTTATAAAAAATATACAGCAAAAACAAATTCATAGAAGCAAAAGTAGATTTCTAATTGCCTAGGCCTGGGGGGGGGGATGAAATGAGAGAATGCAGGGACTCTGGGAATGACAGCTAAAAGGAAGTTACGTTCTTTTATGGATAGGTATAAATATTCTAAAATTATAGTCCTTGGTATAAAACTCTAAATATATCCAAAGCCATTATGTTAGATGCTTTATTGTAGTGCTAATTGTTTTGTTTTGGGACATAATTTCAAGTAGTCTTGGTTGGCCTCACATTTACTATGTTGTCCAAGAATGACCTTAAACTCCTGATCCTCCTGCCTTAGCCTCCCAAGTACTAGAATTACAGGCCTGTACACCATGTCCAGCAAATTGTGCACTTTAAGTGGTTGAACCACAGAGTATGAAGACTACCGATAAAGCATTGTTTAATGTGGGGGGGATGCCTGGCAGTGGTGGCGCACGCCTTTAATTCCAGCACTTGAGAGGTAGAGGCAGGTAGATCTCTGAGTTCAAGGCCAGCCTGGTCTACAGAGCGAGATCCAGGCCAGCCAGGGCTACCCAGAGACCATCTCGAAAAACAAGACTAGCACTCACAAAGTTCCACTGGAAAGGACCTGACAGGCCCCTGGGGGTCATCCTCGGGCTTGTGCTGCCAGCCGCTTAGTAGAATCATCAGAATAAAGATGTATCTCACACCGAAGCAGTTGCAACTGTCTGGGATTAATACGTCAGAATGGTAATACAGACCAGCTAGGCCTCGAAGTCACCATGTTACCCAGGCTGGCTTTGAAATCACAGCAATCCTTTTATTTCACTTTATTTTTAAAACTTTTATTTTATGAACATTGGTGTTTTACCTGCATGCATGTCCTTGTGAGGGTAAAACTGAGTTTACAGACAGTTGTGAGCTGCCATGTGGGCGCTGAGAATTGAACCCATATCCTCTGGAAGAGGACCTCAACCATTGGGCCACCTCTCCAGCCCCACAACAATCTTACTCCAAGCATTTGCAAGTGTACCCCGGTGAGGTGACAACTCTTAAACGTGTAATGTCCAAGTTGAAGGTTTTTAGGGAGTTGGCTTGAGCAAGGCTATGGAGAAGTGAAAATCATGGACCACAGGAGGAGTGGTACCAGGTCTAGGCAAGCCCTGCAGAAAGCTCAGTAAAGCTGCAGGGCACGGGGAGCAGTTCCAGTAGAAATGACAATCCAGACTGGAATGATTCAAAGGGCTGCCGGAGCAAGGTTGAGTGGGCTGGGGTTTTCCGTAAACAATTCCTGTAGAGGTAGATTTGAGTTTTAGAAATCATTCTGTATTGTGGAGAATAAGTCCAAGAGGGACAAAGAGTAGGCTTTGGGTTGTTGAGTTTAAAATGCTTTGAGTGTTCAAAAGGAAGTATCCAGTCTGGAACTGGATTCACGAGTGTCTAGAAATAAAGTAAAAACAGAATGACTGACAGTAGCCTCCGAATGTGGATGGAAGCCATGTGTTTAAAGAGAGTAGAACTCAGTGGAGTGCTATTTAAGGGGTGCCTGCACAGGAGGAAGAGGTCAGAGGAGTTAGCTGGGAACAGATAGTTGGTAGCTACAGCAAAGCATCTGCTAATCAGCTGTTCTAAGTCAGCATTTACTGGACATCTATGTTCCTGGGATGTATCATGAGTTAAGAGGCAATTGGTCTTTGAATTTTAGCGTCAACTTTAGACTAATGGCTGTCACTGCAGGCCATTGACAGCTTTATTTTCTAAATGGCATGTTGTGCTTCTAGGAGTCTTTCAATCTCGCCTTCTCATATTATCCAAGTCCAGAAAAGCCTAGCCCAGCATCCAAGCCAACAAGCCAAGAGCCTTTTTTTTCTTTTCTTTTCTGGCTTTTTGAGATAGGGTTTCTCTGTGTAGCCCTGGCTGTCCTAGAACTCACTCTGTAGACCAGACTCTGGCCTTGGATTCACAGAAAACCACCTGCCACTGCCTCCTGAGTGCTGGGATTAAAAGCATGAGCCACCACCACCCAGCTTTTAAAAAAAAATTATTTTATGTGCATGAGGTTTTACTTGCAAGTATGTGCCTCTAGAATGTTGCAAACCACTTTGTGGATGCTGGGATCTGAGCTCAGGTCCTCTGCAAGAACATTTAAGTGAGCCGGGCGGTGGTGGCGCACACCTTTAATCCCAGCACTCGGGAGGCAGAGGCAGGCGGATCTCTGTGAGTTCGAGGCCAGCCTGGTCTACAAGAGCTAGTTCCAGGACAGGAACCAAAAGCTACGGAGAACCCCTGTCTCAAAAATCAAAAAAAAAAAAAAAAAAAAAAAAAAAAAAAAAAAAAAAAAAAAAAAAAAGAAAGAAAGAAAGAAAGAAGGAAGAAAGGAAGGAAGGAAGGAAGGAAGGAAGGAAAGAAAGAAAGAAAGAAAGAAAGAAAGAAAGAAAGAAAGAAAGAAAGAAAGAAAGAAAGAACATTTAAGTGTTCTTTACTGCTGAGTTATCTTTCCAGCTACCCATAAGAGCCTTCTATCTTTGGGGATGGGCGGCTTGAAGAGTAAACTTCTTTCTGAGGGGATGGAGGGAAAGCAGAGAACATCTCATGTGCTGGCATCCAGAAAATTGTACCCACATACCAGGCTCAGAAACGTACAAGGAAGGCACCCCCGCTCTGTGGGGGAGACCAGGAAGCAGTCCTCTTCCCGTGTGCCAGCCCATCTGCTTCTTTGCCTTCATAAACATGCTTTTTCTTCTTTTTGGTTCACTGCAGCTTTGAAAGCATGAGAAAAGAAGAGTGAGAAACAAGAAGAAAAGATAAGGTTGGAAGAGGGCAAGAGGAAAGGAGAGGAATGGAAGGAAACTCCTGCAGCCACCAACACAATAAATTGTATCCTGAGCCACCTCAGCCTGGCCCTTTTTTGCAGTGCTCTGAAGACGATGAATAAGACATGACTGTGACCTAGGTGGTCTTAAATGACGAGCCCATCAGCATGTTACAGACCTTGGCAGCCCATTTCCATTTGCCCCCTCTAGGTGCACACTTTCCTTGCCGACACCTGTGACTCTTGATAACATCACCAACCTCCCACCACCTGGGACAGCAGGCTCCCAACTGTCCTGAATCTGAACTGGAAGAACAAATGTCTCCCCAGCCTGCAGGACAGCAGGGTAGGAAGTAAAAGCGGTGCCCCATGTGTGCTTCCCACTGTTGACAGAAGGAGACCTACTGTCAGGCTAGAAGACCAAGCCAGCCTGACTTGAGTCAGGCTGTGAATTGAGAGGAGAGGGCAAGTGGTTGTCGTGTGCTTGATCCATACTGCTTCAAGCCCAGAAGTCTTGAAGGGCCAAGGTCTGAGGGTCCTTTCCTGACCTTGATACTCCTTCACCAGGCTGTGCTCTGATTCTAGCTCCTTTCCACTCTGCCCTCACTCTTCCTCAGCTAGGACAGACGCCTAGGCTCTGGCCCTAGTACCCTCCTTGTAGAAGGCAGAGGGGTCTTGTTCCTTCTGTTTTGGAGAACAGGGATGGATAGTCAGTGACGGACTGGAATGACATCTTCCCACCCCGTATTTCTTGTTGGGCACTGTCCGTGGTTTGTGCTGAGGTGTCCTGGCCCAGTCACTGCCTTCACTTTCCTACTCCCTGCTTAGCCAAGGTTCAACTCCACTCTCCCCACCACTCACAACAATCCTGCCCACAGGGAGTCTACTGGTGGTTCTGGGACTGCCTCCAAACTGTGACCGCTTATAGGCGGTGGTGTGGTCTGTCACCTGATTGTTTTATCTACTCCATTTTACCCCAGCTGACCACCAAAAAGCTGAACTGCCCTATCCTGCCCAGCCATGCCAGTGTATAAGGGCTGTCTGTGTGCGCCTTACCCCACCCCCACCAGACTATCGCAAACTGCCAGTATCCACTCACAGGTGTTTCCTGTTGCCGTTTCTTTTGCACAGCATGACCTCCACAGCAGGTGCTGAAGGCCCAGCCAAAAACCTCTTCATAGGCAGTTCTAAAACACTGGGGTAAGGCTCCCCAGGGATCTGGGTCACCCCACCCCCACCTAGGAAACTGCTGGCTCTTCCTGAGCGCTCCCCCCTCTCCCCAGGGCAGCTTTGTGCACAGTGTCAGACTACTGGGCCATATCACCACAGGTACTGGGACACCAGGGGGCTCAAGCTGGGGAGACCTTATGAATGTCCAGTTTCTCAACAGAAATCCTGGTAGGAGGATGGAGGGTCCATTTCTCTAGCCATGGGTGTGGAAACCCCTCGGGACCTTCTTAGCAAAGGCCTGCCTTCCCGAAATCCTGGGTCCCAAAGGTCCCCTAACCTAAGTTAACAACAAACTTATGTGCTGGAGGCAGGGAGGCCCTCCCTTGGGAGTCCTACTTCCTCATCACAGGTCTGCTGACTGTTGGGGGCCACAGAGTTCACAGTTTGTTATTGCCGGGAAAGAGGTGCCTCAGGGAGGGAAGGACCTTGCTGTCTTGGTTCACGGGGCAGCCATCCGGGTCTCCTGTCTCCCAGGCTCCAACTCCTCCCCTAAGCAAGGATTCCTGCTCCCCACCCCCCCAGCCTAAAGTTGCTCCTGAAGCTCCACCATAGGAGGCTGCCTCGCCAGAGGGACCCATGCAGAAGCTACCACCCCCTGATGCAGTTCTACTGCCCCCTGGTGGCAACAGCTCAGGCACGCCATGCTAGCTTTTCTTTCACTTTGCCCTCTAGCCACAGTTAGTCTAGAATGCGCAGTTTGGGCCTTCTCTGCTTGGATCCAATCAGGGCCTGTAGTTCCCAGGCCCAGATGCAGGTTCAGCCTGTTGAGCAGAGCAGAGCTCCCTTCCCTTCTGTGTCTCTTCTCCAAGCACAACCCTGGACTGTGGGCTTCCTTCCACCAGGATTTCCAGGGCAAATGCACGCGATGTTGTCACAGCTGGAGTGTGGGCACAGCAGTGCCAGGAAGAACACACCAGAAGGTGTTGGAGCAGAGGTTCAGAAGTGCAGCAAGCCATGTAGGAAACGCATTTTGCTTTTTTATTTTCTGTAAAACTCTGTAAATAAAATACAAAACCAAGGGATGTAGTGAGGCAGAGCAAGATATGGCCAAGCCCCTGACACTCTGTGGCAAAGGCTATGCAGAACCAAGGCTGGGAGGCACTTCATTCAGGCACTCTACCAACCCCAGGGGAACAAAAGAATATATTAGATTTTCATTCATAGGGATTTGTGGGGAGAGGTGTCTGGAACCAGCCCTCACCCTCCCTGCCAGTGCCTGGTGAGCCCTGAAAATGGGGGAAGGAACACTGGGAGCCGGTGATTAGAGTTCAGAATGCTGTGCTGGCCATGCTGCTGGGCCCAAAGATGCGAGGCAGAGCATCCAGGGACTCTTCTAGCCGCCGATGAGCAGACTGTCCTTCTTCCCCTATAACGTGTGAGCATAAGATCAAGAGTGGCCCTGACATCCTCCAGGACTTCCCACGCCTGGCATTACCTCACCCTACTCCCAACAGCCAAGGTGTTCTCAGAGTTCATGTCTCCCACTTCCCAGCCTCACCACACTGCTGTAGGCTCTGCCGGGCAGCTTCTCTCACAGCTTCCGTGTCTGTCTGGCACAAGTACACCAGGGGCTCAATACCCTCAGGAGCCTATGGGAAACAAAACATTGAGGCAGGTTCAGTATAACAAGCAGGAATAGCCCTGGAGCGAAAGTGGTAGTAGGTAGGTACGTAGGTAGGTAGGTAGGTAGGTAGGTAGGTAGGTAGGTAGGTTGGTTGGTGGCAATCACCTTGATACAGCCCAAAGCCAGGCATCCGGCCACTCGAGTTTGTACATCCTCATCCTCAAGTTGGTCCAGGAAGCACAAAAGAGCCTGGGCAAGGGTGGGAGGGCAGATTTAGCTACTGGACGCCCTCAGCCCTCACCTTACTCACAAGAGAATCCTGCCAAACTCACCCTTTCCCGGAAGACAGGACCGAGTGAGAGGCTCCGAAGTTGGGTACTGACTGCAGCCATGACTTTGTTATTGCCGTGGACCAGCAGGGAGCTAAGAGCCCGAAGCCCATCCCTTCGCAGGCGCCCCTCAGGTGCTAACCTCAGGGCTTTCAGCACAACAGCCTGGTCATCAGAGTTCAGATTCTGTACCAGTAACACTAAAAGAAGTGGGTGGCACAAATTGGTAAAAACTCTTGGGGTGACTTTGTCCTCATGATCCCATCTTTTACACCCTCAGGACCACCCCTGGGGTCAGCATTCTGTGGCCAGGGCCACTGTCTCACCTTCCTCTGCAGTCTCTGTCACATAGGCATCCATGGAGGGGCTGTCCAAGGCTTCTACATAACTCCAGAACTGGAAAATGGTGAATTGTTCCCCGGGGCCTGGTTGGGGCCTCCTAGGCAGCTTCCGCCCCAGGGCGTCTTCCAGGAACTTCACACACACTGCAGGAGACAGTACCACAGCCTGAGTTGGGATAGACCCGGGTCTCTAAGCGGGAAGAGAATGTCCCCGTTCTAGCTCAGGCCCAGGGACTCCTTGTCCACCTCTACTCTGAGAATGAGCAATCACTAGTTTTCTTCAATGCTCAATTTGTCCGTCAGTAGGGGCTAACAAGGAAGCTAGGAAAGGAAGGAAGGGGCAGGTAGGCAGCCCACTCACCAGCCTCAGCTAAGCCTGGCTGGCGCAGGGAAAGACGGGCACCATACTGGCTGCAGAAAGTGAGGAGCACCTGCTCCACGGGGCAGATGAAGGGGCTGAGTCCCTCTGTACATTGGTCCCAAAAGGTCAGGAAGCCGGACCGAGAGGCTGAGAACTGCACCACTGTGAGGGGAGGGTGAGAAAAGCCATCAGCAACAGAGCAGGTCAGGCAGGAGGGGAGGGTGTATAAATGGGAAAAGGTCAGGCATGAACTCCAGGTGGGCATCAGCCCAAGCCCAAGGGGCCTTTACCTTCCTGGGCAGAGGTGGCAGCAGTCCCCCATAGCTTGCTGTGCTCACACACTTCCTCGAGCACGCGCGCCTCCCTCAGTAGCCGCTCTAGGGCCCATGCTTCCTGGCAGCGCAGGGGCCCAAATGTGCCCAGTTTCTAGAGGACAGGGGTTGCCAAGTAATTTAGACCTCATGGTAAGGGTTGGGGAGGATGGAGGTATTACATGCATAGGAGCCAAATGCCCAGGACCCTGGGGCACTGGTGTGTGGAACTGAGAGGTTTAGAGGACCAGGACTGGAATGCAGGACTCCCTGGGGCAAGGGCTGAAGGGGTGTGTGTTATCCCCTCACCAGCAGGAGGCGGCTGCAGTGATACAGGTGCTGGACCAAGGTGGCATCCAGGGCTGGACACCCTGTGCTTAGGGACTGGGCATTCGATGAGTCTAATCTGTCCTCTGCCACAGCCTCTGGGCTGCTTGTGGGCCTGAGAGAAAAATGGATCAAACATCCCAACAACACACATCACCTTCTGGTTACCAGAGATTATTTTTATTAAGCTCCTCCCACCCAGAATGGAAGAACAAAGTGCAGACTCAGACAATAAGACACAGGTAAGTTCACAGAGACTTCCAGGAGGATGAGGCCGCAATGAGTAACATGGTCTTATAGCCAGTCTACTTTTTGATACCCCGCTAAGAAGAAAGGGGCTGCCGGACCCGAGATGGGCGCCAGTAGGACTGCAGGCGGGATGGTCTATAAAACGTGGACTGGGAGGGACGCAGGGCTTGGGACTGGAACCTAGGAAGTCGTAAAGGGAGGAGGGACCGGGTGTGATTCTCAAATCTGAATCGGTAAAGTCTACTCCAGGAATGAGAGCCGAGAGGCCGCAGCCTCCGGGAGAGTCGGGGTCGTGATGGAGGGGGCTGATACTGGGGGACACAGGGCACATGGTGAGGCACTGAAAGGGCTCCTTCACAGGATGGGTCCAAGGTGAGGTCAAGGGAAAGAAGAGAGGCAGGAGGCTCACAAGCTGATGGGGACTTGCAGGGGAGGCAGACATTGCAGAGATGAGCAGGGTGGCCAGAAACACTGGGATGGATGGAGTTGGTGACATGAGCATCAAAGATACATGAGGTATACAAGGAAAAACCAAAACTGCACTTGCCACAAGCCCCACCTCACCAGTCCCCATCTTGCCTTTCCTCCCAACCTCCCCCTTCCCCTCCTCTGCCTTACATTGCTTTACCTCTTC